ACGTGATGCTCTCAAAGAAGAATGTGAAAAACTTAAAGCCTCTAGGAGGCGTTTGGATGATGCAAAATGTAAAGACGAGTTGCTCGACGGACGGGATGTTCACACACTTGTTCATGAACTTAGACAAGAATTGAATTATCACAAGGATCTTAATGCTAACCTTCAAATACGACTAGAGAAGACACAAGAGTCAAACTCTGAGTTGATTCTTGCTGTTCGTGATCTTGAAGAGTTGTTGGAACATAAGGATAAGGAGATCACAAAGCTATCCAGCAATTCAGAGAATATATCTAGGATATGTTTGGAACCCGGAAAATGGTAGGAAAATGGGAAATAATGCCAATGAATGTTATTTATTTATTTATTTATTTATTTATTAGGTTTCACATTAATGACCATGAAAATATGATCAAAATAAAATATAATTAGATTTTTTATAATGTTAAAGACATTTAGATTTTTTAGCCTTTATACAACACAAACACAACAACATTACCCCAGTGCCGCAAAGGCTCCCACCTATGGTAGGGTAAACGGGGGGTCGGATGTGTCTTACCCCTGTACTAGAGCACAGAGAGACTGTTTTTCAATTACCCGTGACGAAGATTGCGTCGAAATTTGAATGGACTGACTGCTCCTTCATAACAAGAAGCACTGAGAGTTTAGTGAGCCATTTTGCCTTTTTCCATCATATTCCCAAGCCAAAAAATAGTGTTTTTGGCTCCATCGGAAATGATGGAAAATTTATACAACATAAATGTATAAATAAAATGAGTTTTAAAAAATATCTGAAATTGGTTAGTTTAGTTTTAACCAAACTTCAATTTTCATTGGATTTTCTTTGTTTCATGATTTTTCATGTGTTCTTTCTCTAACATTTTCCGGTTTCCAAACAGATCCTAAGGTTCTGTTTGGGTCCAGGAAAAGGTCAGAGAAATGAAATAAAACCTAAAAGATTTTTTTCCTTATATTTGGTTTTACCTTTAGAAGAAAAACTAAACCAAAACAGGATAGATCATTTTAATTTTTTACATATGTTAAGATTTCATTGTCTTTATATAATTAAAAAAGAATTCGAACAAATGTAAAAAAAGTCATTGTTTTTCCCTAGCATTTTCCGTGTTCCAAAAGGGGACTGTCCTAAAAATTTACAAACCCTAACTTTAATCATGACAGTGTCAGTGGCAACACCAGCTACAAAGATGATGGTGATGAAGAACAAAAAGCACTGGAGCAGCTTGTGAGACACCATGGTGATGGCATAGAATCATATGAGCTTGAGCAAAAGATCATGGACCTCGAGAACGAACTGGAGATCTATCGAAGAGATAAAGACGAATTAGAAATACAAATGGAGCAGTTAGCACTTGATTATGAGATCCTGAAGCAGGAAAACCACCACTTGTTGCATAAACTAGAGCAGAGCCAGTTGCAGGAACAGCTAAACATGCAATGCGAATGTTCGTCCGGATCATATGCCCAGATTGAAGCCTTAGAGGAAGAACTTGAAAAAAGAGCTCAACAATTTGAAACCGATCTAGAAGCTCTCTCTAATGCTAAGGTTAATAATAAAATACTACTTTTAGTGATATAACTGAATTTATTATTATAATTTCTAGAAACTTTTGCAATGCTTTTAAAACCAATAATAGAACTAAACATGGAAGGAATAGAAACCTAATAGCAATAGGAAAAATGCTAAGTATCCCACATGTTTACTACTAAACCTCATATTTTGAAAATTTATCTGGAGTGAGTCAAATTCAACATTGTATCAGAACTTGGTCTGACTGAGGTTTGGTAATTTGTTTATTTGGGAAACCTTGCTTAGGATAGCCTGTTTGGGTAAGCTTAGCTTACTTGTCTACCCCTCTCAAGTTCTCCAGCCTGGTTTGGGCTTAGGGCATATGAAGTGTCCACATTGGATGTTTAAAATGTAGGTGAAAACCCAAAAAGATCATTTTGAAGTGAGCTAGGCCCAATTTAGCAAAAACTATATTCCTATTTTAACAGGTAGGAAGCTTTAGTATTACTAAAACTGTGATAGTTATGTGTATACTTTAACAGGTAGAGCAAGAGAAAAGAGCGATATGCGCTGAAGAAGAACTGAGAAAGACTAGGTTGCAAAATGCCAAAACAGCAGAGAAGCTTCAGAAAGAACTCAAGAGGCTCTCAGTGCAAATAGCATCCACGTTTCAGGCCAATGAGAAACTAGCTACCAAAGCGTTGACCGAATCAAATGAGCTCCGGCTAGAGAAAAGTCAACTTGAAAATGAGCTTGTCTCGATGCATAAAAAGGTGGAGGAGTGTATAGAAGGAATGAACAATATGGCACGTCTCATGAATGAGAAAGACACGTTAGTAGCTGCCCTTCGGTTAGAGATAGGTGCTCTTAGGGAGCAGTATAGTGAGCTGAATAGCCGGATGTCTGAGGATGAGTTGGAGAAAGATAAGTTGAGGGAGGAGGTGTCCAAATTGAAGAGTGATCTGAAGAAGAAAGAAGACACATTAAGAGCTTGTTCAAGGAAAGATAAATGTGCACTTGCTTCCCATGAGGTTACTAGTCTCAAGGAGAAAATCAAGTTGCTCGAGGTAAATTTAAACCTAGAGTAAGGACGTAAGGTTTATGGAATAATCACTTCATCCCAAAAGAAAAGAAACATGTTTTAGCTAATGCATTTTCTGAGGAAAATCAATAAAAATAAGCCTTTTCTTTTGTTGTATTAGGATTCCCCCTTTCCCCGACAAGAATATGTTTTGGAACATGTACTAGAAATAGTTTTGAAATGTATAATGGAAGACCTCTTTCCTCTTTTTTTTGCCATTACATGTTTAGAAATAGTTTGTCAAGTTTGATAATGTTTCAATTGTTAATAGTATTCTGTTTTGGAAAGTGACAGCTAATGTTTTTGGTGCCAAACAGGGTCAAATCAAGATGAAGGAAAATGCTCTCGAGACCTCAACAAATTCATATTTGGAAAAGGAGAAAGATCATCAAAATAAAATTGAAGAGCTAGAAACAAGAATAGAAGAACTCAACCAGAATAATGCCAGTCTTTGTGAACACATGTCCCAAAAGGTTAAGAAGTAATTAAGTCCCGTTTTCCCACCATTGTAAATTGTAATTGTAGTAGTTTGGTTGGTTTAGCACCGTAAGAGTATTAAATTTCTTGAGAGCAAAAATATTAAATACGGGTCTTAAAGGGAATTCCAATTTGTCAAAAACTTAAAACAACACTTATTGTGAACTGGGGGAAGATGATCCAACTGGATCAGACCACCTCAGTGAAAGCATTTAAATTGAATGAGATTTATTTGGTTTTAGCTGTATCATCTAAGAATTCTTAGTGCTCCATCATTTTCCATGGAGCCAAAAACTCACTATTTTTTTGGCTTGAGAATATGATGGAATAAGGCAATATGGCTCACTATGGGTCATCCGGAAACAGCCTCTGCGTACTTTAGTACAGGGTAAGGCTGCGTACATCCGACCCCCTCTTACCCCAGCGTAGGTGGGGAGCCTTTGCGCCATTGGGGTAATGATGAAGAATGATGAAGATCAAAGAATTCTTAGGTGAAACTGTTAATCAAACACATTGAAAAAAAATAATGTACTCAAACCTTTTTTAATAATATATGCGCGCACATACACACACTTAAAGTGGAGCTAATGATTCATTACTAACAATGCAGGAAGGTACAGAAGACTTTGATCTGATTTCAGGAACAAGTGAAACGCGAAATAGGTATATCCCCACAAATTCAAAATTGATATTTCCCAAAATAATGTCAGTACATCAATTTGTCACCCGCCCGTGAGTAAAGTCATAATAAAAATGGGTTGTCCATTTACTTTATGACCCCATATAATATCTCCACCTTATCACTATTATTACTCCCAAGTCCCAACCATTAATCTAAGGGCAGATTCAGAAGTTAAATAGCCAAGAAAGAAAAAACACACCAAGACACAAAAATAGATGGAGGGAGTGTTACATGAATCTGTTGAAAATATTTCACAAAAATAAAAATAAGATTTTGTTACATAAATTAGTTGTCTTGTATTTTACACTATTGAACCCTCAAGTCTCAAGAGCAAATATTTCTTTTCCATTTTCAGCAATAACGAATTATGGGATGAAGTTAGATTACTGAGAGAGAGGAAAGGAATAATGGAAGCTGAGTTGAAGGAAATGCAAGAGAGATACTCTGAAATAAGCCTCAAGTTTGCTGAGGTAGAAGGTGAAAGGCAGCAGCTTGTGATGAAAGTTCGGAACCTTAAAAGTGCAAAAAAGAGTCCTTGAATAAACTATATTTTATGTTTCTATCCACATGCAATTTCATTTCATTAAAACTTCAACTTCAAAAAAGAGAAAAAGTTGTATATTTGCAAAGGGTATTTTTTAATATATATATATCTAGTATGTCAATTATATATACATATATTTACATAACAATGTTGACAATGGCCTTTCTTGCTGTGAAGATTTCTACTATATGTATTCACAGATTTTGCATAATACTGAAGGAGTTGCTTGTGTGACATTATTCTCAATATAGTTGTACATAAGCCAGTTCTGGTTCCAGACTTAAAGTTTCAGCTCCACTTAGGGTTGGAGACAAATGGTAATGCCAGTTCCAGTCTTCCAGACCAGCCCCAAGTCAGGTAGACAAATCGGTTCTTGTTTGGTTCTTAACCGTTTTGTAACCTTAAAAAGTAACCAGAACTGGCCGGTCCAGTTTTATTTTGGAGGAACCAGAACCAAACTGGAAAATAAATGGTTACCAGTATGTCTAGTATCGGTTCATGACTGGTTACCCGTCTAGTTTCTAGTTAAAAATCTAGTCAGTCCTGGTCCATAAACAAGGCTATGTGTCTATGCCTATCTCAATAAGGCATTTCCATTATGAAATTGTTGATGGACTTTGTGTATTGTAAGAAACTATGGATTTCACCCCAAATGGGTAAAAAGAATAAATAAGGTAAATAGACAACTCTCTGAAACTCTCAGTAAATCCAAACGATGCCATATGCTCTTGAAGACAAGAAAATAATTGGTTAGAATTTCTTTAGGATCTAAACAGTGTACGCTACTATCCTTTGAATCATGTAAGTTTCCTTCACATATACACTGTATTTGTCGAAATAAATGTATAAATGAGTACAGAATCTCTTTCATAGTTTTTTGTTAATCAATCCATAGACTGTCACAAGAGCCATAACTAGAGAATGATCACAGTGAGGCTCTACCATCAAAGTTAGCACATCATTCCCAAAAGCAACTCCAGATTTTTCCTGCTTTTGTTTCACCTGCAAACCCCAACATTGCATAAGGTCAGCAAAGATATACAAAGAGTAGGGCTGTAGGGGAAAAAGTGAAAAACTTTTAACTTCTAGAACATGGTTTAAGATTGATGGGAGGAGAAGCACAAACCTCTGCTATTACTCTTGTTCTATTGACAATCTTGAATGAAGATTTTCCAGGTAATGCAATGATTTCATAACAGTTCTCTTGTGGTTGATCTGAAGCTGGATTGACATAGTAGCTATTCGAGTCTCCTCCCAAAACGTTCCAACTTCTCCTAACTTGAAAGCATAGTACTTCTTCACAATCCACTTCACTGTTGTTGCATCTATAGCCATTCCATTGTCCAAAAACTGAAAATTTCTGCATATGAACCACAGGTCAAAGTCTATCCAGCATTGATACATACTAGCTTTTTTATTTCTACTTTTTAGGCCTTTCAGAGTGAATAAATAAAAAGATGCAAATAATATATACAGACTTTGAACTCTTCTTTTATATGTTGATGCTTTTATGATATAACTGAGTTCTTTTTAACTTTTTCTAGTGTATCCACTGCTCCAAAGCTTTACCTTTTAGAGTTTTTAGTTCACCAAATCTTAACTTTTTCGATTCATTAAGCTCAAATAGACAATTCAATGTATAAAGATTTGAACTACTCTTCTTAACAACAGAATAATTGAAGTATAAAGATTTCAGCAGTTCATCTTAAGTCTTAAAAATACAAAAACTAAGACAAAAAGAGCAGTCAAATCGATACCTTTCGTCTGATAGAGAAGAGTACTCTGCCATGGAGATCCATGAGATGAACTTCTCTGCTGCATTTTCTGTTGTAGTTATCAATCCTGTAGACAATCTCACCATTGGAGTCAAACACAGTGCATCCATTGCCATGGAAGACAAGAGACTTCATCCACACTGTAAACGTCTCACGCTTTGAGGTGATGTAAGATGAAGAAGATGGTGAAGAAGAGGAGGATGAGGTCTGGGGATAAATTCTTGCCATGGGAGAGACACTGGAAAGGAGAGAATGGTTTGAGTTGTTGAGGGAAAAGGCTATTTATTCTCCCGCAGATTTGGGCTAAAGTTTTCCATAAATTTAGACTTTAGGAAATGTATACGTTTTTTTTAAAAAGCTATTTTTTTGCTTGGTGTACAACTTCTCCTGTTTTCTTTATTAGCTAGAAGCCTAGAACTAGAAACTCAATTCTGCCCAAAAACGACAATTTAATTAATAATTGATGTCTTTTTATGAGAGTCAAATGCTTTTTAAAAATATATACTGTGTATTTAATTTCTGCAATTTTAAATTAAATATTGGCCCCTCCCAAGGTCTATAGAACTGTTTTTGTATGTGAAAGATTTTTATCATAAGAAACGACACACCAATAAATAACTCTTTTTATGCCAAAAAAGTTGGTTTAAAAAAGTTGGTTTCTAGGGGCATGCAAAAAGACTGTACCACACTTGAACCAATTAATGTGTTTTATAGGGAGTACATGTATAACTAGATGGTCTTTTCCTTATCGAGTGAATCCCATGCCAATTAAAATAAAATAACTACAAATATATAACCAAAATAAAAGTAGTGATAAAAAATGTGATAGGACGAAACTTCTATTACGTTAATCTAATAACTTTATTTTTTCAAAATAATTTATTCACATTTATAACTATATTCAAATGTTATATTATAGTGACTATAATATTTATGTGTAGTACGTAGTAACTAATATTCACATTTTTTTTCTATACATTTTTCATTTGTAATACTTTTGGGAAAACCTCAAATAAAACAGGACGACACTGCTATTACGTTAATAATAACTTTATTTTTTCAAAATAATTTTTTTTACTTATTATTGTTATTCTCGTCTAACTAACTAGTAAAGATACTCTTTCAAAAAAAACTAGTAAAGATACAACATTACAAATACATTTACTAATGATATACTAATTGCTAAGAATACTTAACATAATTAGTTTTTTTATTCTAATCAATCTATATTTATTAAAAGCCTAAACACTTGTGGTTCCATGACATTTCTCTGACACTCCAAAGGAGGAGGTCACAAGGTCGAAACTCAATCCCTATTTAAGGAGGTTGACATTTAAGGTATGGTATGTTATGATATATTATTATTAGGTTTCCATTTATTAGAGTATGTTCAATATTAACATTACACCATTTTAAACTACATAATCCGTAGTTTGTTATAGCTAGGATCTTGTATAATCACGGTGCCCAGCCGGCCGGCCCTATTCTTTTTTAGGCTATAGTTACAATTTGTGATGATGAAATTATCTTTTACAATTTCTGAAATGTAACATACATTTAATTTATTATCGTTAATTCGTTTTGAGCTAGCCCCTTTCGAAATTCTAATCTTATGAGTTTCGGGGTACTCCGTTATGTGCATCAATGTCCCCAACAAATCAGACATAAGATATGCACAGTACAACTGAAAGCAGAACAAGTTAAAACACCAATTAATTAAGAACAGATGAAATAAAGATGCTTCAAATGATTAATGTTAATTAAGGATTAGGGTTGAACATAATTGTTTGCGAAGAGATGCATTAAATTGTGGTCGGGTTTGGTCATGAATAGTGTGGGGTGTATGGGGAATATGGTACATAAAGGGTGTGGGTATTGTTCAATATTTTCCCAGCACCATAATCCATTCTTATTCCTTCAACATCTTGTCACTATTGATATATGTAGATCCCCTCTCCCCTCATTATTGTCTACTCCGTATAAATTATCACAGGCAATCAAACTATCAAAGGTCGAATTTGTTGATCAGTGTCACACTGTCACACCGCTACAAGTTTACACACACAATAAAACGTTGCAAAATATTTACATACAAAATTAAGGGTTTCACATATAAAATAAATATACAAAAATATGAATGAAATGAAACTTATTTATAAAAAATGTTACTATAATATAGTAATTTCATACTCATTTAAGTGTGATGGAGAATATTCCTCTAGACTCATCGCAGTCTATATATAAGGTCTTATCGGGAATCACATATACAAAAGATATTAACATATTCACATAATTGGGAGGAAACACACTCAGCCCTACGCCATGCCTTTACTTATTTGAGTATGACATATGTGTGTGACGAGGAAACGTCCCATATGCCACTTGCCTGAATATTTATCTACTTAATGACTAGCTACTCATCAATGAAAGAGAGGGCAATTGCCTAACTACTATCCCATTTCCTACGACACAACACTCCCCTCTCCTCTCATGCACATGTTATTTCTTCTTCCTAGCTTAATTATTTCTCCATTAATGGCTTCCCTAGAAGCTTCATATATGTTTTGTACATGTAACCTCTCCCACACAACTATAATAAAAGCTCTCGGCTCCCGTTGGCATGGTACCACCCAAAAAGGCCCGTGGTTTTCACTGATTTGGTTTCCACGATAAAATACTATGTCCGCTCTAATTTCTTTATTTACTCGATCGGGACAATTAGTTCCATCAAAGTGTAAAAATGAGTGTTACTAAGACTAAGTTATTACATACTATAGTGACTATGTACACTTAGGGTGTGTTTGGGAGTTGGATTTTGGAGGGGAGAGAAAGGTTGATAGGTTTTTATGGCACTCCTTTTTATGTTTGGGAGTTTATAAAATTTGGAGGGCTTTAGTGACCCTCCAAAATCCTCTAAATACTCAATTTATGAGTTCCCCAATTTGAAGGGTTTTGAAAAATAATTAATCAAATCATAATTTAAGTTTAATTAAAAAAAATATCAATTCAATTATTTGAATTCATCATATCTCAAAGTGATTTTACTTATAATCTATTCAAAAATCTTCTTCTTCCAAATTTATTACTCTCAAATACAAAGAAGGGTTTCATCATCCTCCCCTCCATTTCCCCTCCAACAACATACCTCCAAAACCTTCGCCTCTCATTCCCTCCAAACTCCCAGCGGAGAATTCTGAAAAATCTCTCGTAAATGATTCTTCTATACGCAAAAAACGTGACAGGCCACTTTGATCAAAAGACATAAAACCAACAAAAATTAAAAGGCAGGAATTGATCTGTGATGTCAAAGATGTTCATCCTTCTCAACAAGAAAATGAACAATTTGAAAATACTGGCATAGAAAATGATATTGACAAAACAAACATCTCAAATGATGATCTAACTTCCTTAAATGAGGAACATATTCCAGATAATGATAGAAACGTTGATAATTATGAAATTTCAATAAATTATGTTTCTACTGGAATGCAATGGAATCGAAAAGATATTGATATTAATGAGATATTTGTCTATGTTGTTGCCACAAATGTTATGAATGAAAACAATGACAATGAGCCAACATCAATTAAAGAATGTCGAAAACGACACGATTGGCCAAAATGGAATGATGCTATTCAGGCTGAATTAAAATCACTTGAAAAACGTGATGTTTTTTGGACCGATAGTCCCTACACTAAAAGGCGTAAAACCCGTGGGGTTTAAATGAGTATTTGTGCATAAACGCAATGAAAAGAATGAAATTGTTAGATATAAAGCCCGACTTGTTGCCCAAGGTTTTTCTCAAATGCCGGGAATAGATTATGAAGAAACCTATTCTCCAGTAGTTGATGCAACTACATTAAGGTTTCTCATTGGCATGTCTGTTTTTGAAAGGCTGCAAATGCGCCTAATGGATGTAGTGACTGCATATTTATACGGTTCACTCGATACAGACATTTATATGAAAGTTCCCGGGGGATTTAAAATGCCTGAAGCTTATAGCTCGAAATCTCGAGACATGTTTTCCATTAAATTACAGAAGTCATAGTATGGACTAAAACAATCTGGACGAATGTGGTATAATCGTCTCAGTGAATACCTTCTCGAAGAAGGATATAAGAATGATCCAATTAGTCCATGTGTTTTCATTCGGTGATCAAATTTTGGATTCGCTATAATTGCAATATATGTTAATGACCTCAACATTATTGGACCTCACGATGAAATTGAAAGTACTGCAAAATATCTTATAAAAGAATTTGAAATGAAAGATCTCGGGAGAACCAAATTTTGTTTCGGACTTCAAATTGAGCATTTGAAGAATGAAATTTTCATCCATCAATCCAATTACACCGAGAAAGTGTTGAAGAGATTCTATATGGACAAAGCTCATCCTTTGACTTCACCAATGGTCATTCGATCTCTCAACATACACGATGATCCATTCCGTCCCCGGGAAGGCGACGAAGAAATACTCGGTCCCGAAGTACCATATCTGAGTGCTATTGGGGCTTTAATGTATTTAGCTAATAATACTAGACCAGATATTGCATTTTCTGTAAATTTATTAGCTAGGTACAGCTCATGTCTAACAAGACGTCATTGGAACGGGATCAAGCACATATTCCGTTATCTCGGCCTATTCTACCACAAAGATGCAATAGCTTCTTTAATCGGATATGCAGACGCCGGATACCTATCAGATCCTCAAAAGGCAAAATCACAAACCGGGTACGCATTTACTTATGGTAACACCGCAATCTCATGGAGATCTATGAAGCAAACATTGACGGCTACATCATCAAATCATTCGGAGTTAATTGCACTTTATGAAATCGGGAGGGAATGCGTGTGGCTGCGATCTATGATTCAACACATACAAAATGAATGCGGTATGAAGCCTATTACTTGTCACCCGACTGTAATCTATGAAGACAACACTGCATGCATAGCTCAAATTAAATAAGGCTACATTATTGGAGACAGAACGAAAAACATATCACCAAAATTCTTCTCTACTCATGATCTGAAAAAAGAAGGGACGATCAATATTCAGCAAATCAGATCCAGGGAAAATCCGGCCGATCTCTTCACCAAATCTTTACCCCCAATCAGATCCAGCAATTGATGTCAAATTGCTTGTGTATACAGGCAATGTACAAATTTTGTATGCATCTTGTGTACATCAATGACTACCGGTGATAGGACGCCATATACTTGTAATTGTTCCAAATCCCATCAGACAGATTTGTAATTATGAGTTATGACTACATCCGTCCCATATTGGTTGTCCGTTTTTAATTTGGCACGACTATTAATAAAATGGTTAAAAAAATTGTAGTTGAAATTTGAGTAGAATAAAATGAAATGATAAAGATCACTTATTTTTTGTCAAAAAACAAACATGACATTCATTTTTGGATAAATCAAACAGGAAAATAAGACAACCAAAATGTGAGGAGGTAGTATAAAATTACAAAATATTAACTAATTAATTTCAAAGGATATGGAAATATATAATTCATGCTTAATTGGATTGTTTTTAGTCACAAGTCAGACAAAATCAGATCAAACTTAAATAGACTAGATCAAACAATATTAGATCAGATATGTAATAAAATACATATTCACCAAATATTTATCGCTAAAAATTTTCAATACAATTACAAATATTTGAAAAGGTCGAATTTTTTTTTCAAATGTGAACGGGTTGTAAGGAATTCTTACAACGAGAAAACTTTTGTAACAAAATTCCAACTTACACTTTTGTAAACTTTTGTGAAATTAATAGAAGGATGAGGTCAATTATGGAGTATATGTTAAAGTGAAAGATGAAATCGATAGTGTTTGAACTTTTCATTTTCATGTAAACAGGGCGATAAAAGTGAAACTTATACACAAAAAGTGTATATAATCTCACGGTCCCATTTTGTAAGATACTTTTTTTATTCACTTGATCAACACAAATCATTTTTAATTTGTTACTTTATATATCAAAATTTTATGAAATTTGATTTATTTTTTACAGGCTTTAAAGCGGTTTTAATATAGTTTCTGAATATGTAAATTTTATTTTCTAAAACTAATTTGAGTATTGACAGGGAACAATTTGCTGTATCGTCGGCCAAACATCGTAAACTGTAAAGTGCCTTACAATTCAGGATTGAGAGAGTATTTATTATGTTACCAAACAAAATGTGCATTAATACAGCTTGGCAATACTACATACATTTTTAATTTGACTGAAAAAATTTCTTCTGA